GTTCACATTGGGTATCAGCATGTGGAACGTCTATTGCTAAATTATACTAAATTGCAACTAATACATATATATTTATGATATATTAGACTCAGACTCTTAAAAATGCTCCTAATAAGCAAATGTTTGCCCTAGGAATATTTGCCCTCTGTATCAGGTATAGTCTATCTGAGAAATACTTATGCAGTACTTCTATGCATTCTTCTCACTTTTTTTTTTCCAACAAGTTTTCTGTTCTTCTGCCATGCCTCTAATACAGTTTGTTTTTTGCCCTTTCATTTCTTTCCTTTTTAGCTTTTGCTTTCTCTTCCTGTTTCACTTTTCGCTCTCATCTTGCTTTTTCAATTGTGGTAAGCAACTTCTGCAAAATAGGAAACTTGCATTTTGGTTTCTGAAAACAGCCAGAATTAGTCTGTCTTCCTGTAGTTTGTAATTTTGGACAGGATTTTAATCTTACTTTTTTTCTGCTACTTCATCCATGGCCGGTCTAGAAGGGATGTTTCCCTTACGAGAAGCTAGGATGGATGCACTGTACCATGGTTCCAGTCTAAAAAGGAACCTCTAGATTCATAGGAAATTTGATTAAATTTGTGGGGCAAAGAAGTAGCCAACAAAAAACATAGTGCAGCTGAGGTAATCACAGCATCTAGCGACTCAATAAAATGCAAGCAGCTAACCTTTTGTCTGACTGCATATTTTTGGCCTGTTTTATCTGTTCTTTTGTCTGTAATGTTAAGTCCTAGAATCAAGAGTACACAATTGCTTTTAATGTCCACAGGCATGAATTTCTGTAGTGTAACTGTGCTGAAAGAGAATGCTAAAAACACTAAGAAATTACTGGATGATTTATATGCTTCTCCATCCCTCAGAAGAGAAGATGGCAGCTCAGTTTGTGAAGGTTTTTCAGAGTGGATGTGCTCAGCTCCATGTTACTTGATGTAAGCTCTGTCAGATTGTCCAATACTTTTTTCCCCCTTTTTTCTTAGAAAATATGCTCTATTAGCCTTTCCCAAGCATAAAGCATTTGCCTTACAACATCCTTACTGCATACTCAACAAACAACACAGCTAAAGTATCTCTGAATTACCTGTGACGCGTACTTGTTCTCCTCTTGATGAAGAGTACAGGAATATATCACTTAAAGTTGACTTTCTTTTTTAAACAATGTAGCTAAGTTACTTTTGAAAGGAAAAGTGAATTCTGTAAGTCACAGTGTTGAAAGGCTTACTATTATGGAGGTAAATGAAATCTATTTTTCTTTCTAATGTTAATAGAATTAATGTAACTAGCAGCTCTCACAACAGTGTTTGTGTATTGATACCACATAAATACTATGTGTATGGAAAAAACAGTTCGAAAGTTTGAGGTCTTGGTTTAAATTTTTAGTTTGACCTTGAAAAACATTCCCAGATGGAGGGAGTTAAATTAGCCCAGCTTTGAAAAGAGGAACATATGAATCACGGTTGCTAGGCTCTTCCACGAGAGGCATGGGCTTTACATTTACGGTTAAGTATTTCAAAAAGAAATCTTTAAACTCAGAGGAACAGTGCATTTGAAATGACACTGGTGAAATACTAGAAACTTCATTAGACTTTTAAATAGAGAATTTGCATGTCGCTAAATGAAATAGGTATAAAGTATTAGGCTTAAGTTCAGAAGCCTTGCAGTTGATATTCTTCCTTAAGGGTGTGTGGTGGGGGGACAGAAAACTGAAGCATCCCTCTCCAACGCTTCTGGAACGTATTTCATATCCAAATTATGTTAAACTATTTAGTATATTCTCTGATATTTACACAATATAATTTGCATCATATTCGTAACTGTTTCACGTAGGAATTTTCCCCCTTAGAACACAGGAATAAAAATAAAATTTCCCTGAAACCTGCTTTCGCTCTGCTTGAGCAGAGCGACAGTGAAGCATGTTAAAGGCGTGGGCGTTCACTCGCCTGGAACTGCGACTCCCGATTGGGAAATAGAAATACACGTTCGGGTCTGAGCTCTTTTCCCGTCGCCTTTACTGATCTTGATTGGATCACAATCTTTAAAGTTTCAAACCCGTTTTGAAAGTTTAAGATTCAGATTTCTGTAGTAGCGTTATCAGTGCTTTTTGCCCACTCGTACCTAGCGTGTTACCCTCCGGCGCTGCTCTTGCTCGTGCAGTGCTCAGCACAAGTAAGTGTTGCCAGTAAGTGTCACACAAAATAAGGGTTTTGATAATAGAAAAACAGTGCTTACTTTACCACCTATAAGAAAACAAAGGAGATGCGTTTAGGACTGTGACGTTTCACGGCTCAGTACCACGTTAGGTTCAGATGTACCGGGTAGATCGTTTGAGCTGATTTGCGTAATCTGGCTGGATTCTTGTGTATGGCTTCCTTTGAGATCACAGCTGTGAATCTGTGTGTGCAGCACATCTTTTTTTTTTCTGTGTCAACTGGTTTTGCTTTTAGTCAGAGTGAGTGGTTCTTTATGAGTTTGTTTAATAGAGTATTTTGGCCTTGCTTTCTGTCGCTTACAGTTTTGATCTTAAAATTGTAAAGATTTGCTTCACAGTGTAAAGGGCACGGGTAACTTTTTCAGATTTCTTAGGAACGTAAATAAGAAAACATTTTTGTTTACACCAGTTTCTATGAATTTGTTTCACTTGTGGTTTAAAAACAGCTCTGTATTTCCAGCAAATATTCGTTAAAGCGTACTTAAATAGAGCGAACGTGAGGTCTCAGACTAATGTCAAGGGGCCCTTTATCTCGCCAGGTAAATAGAAGTAGGCAATCCCTTTCTTGCGTTAGAGATTCCCCCCCCCCCC